CTTATAGGACATACACACTTTCTGTGTGCCTTTCTTGCGTCTTGCAGGTTGGCTCTTTGGATGGTTTGAAGAAGTGTTGTTGGCATCCAGAAACACTTGCACAAAGATAATTTACACTATACAATTTACAGTCAAGTGTAAAAACTTCTTACATATTTGGTTGATTTGAAGCATTTTAACTTCTGATTTTTTTCCACCCAAATCCCAGCGTGTGGTACTCTAATCCAAGTAGCCAAGAGGATACAAAGGAAGCTCCAGGAGTGAGGGAGAAGTAGAAAATCACATGCAGCATGTCTCTACATGAGGTGTATCTTTAACTGAAGAAAAGTCTGTGCCTTCATCCTTCACAACCTCTCAGTGAAGGATGAACACTTCATGGGCAGATTTAGGTGGCTGATGAGGTCAGGCCATTACGCAGTGGAACATATTTTCAGGATTGCTGTTATCTACAAGTATGTTCTTAGCTCATGCTCCACAACCATATTTGCTTTGTACTCCACATAATGCTACAGCAGTACTTAGGGTCTTAAAACATTTTCTCAAACAGACTAAACAAAATATGGTTTCCTAGAGCAGGGATAGTTCAATTGTAAGAAATTATCCAGAATGACAGAAATGCTAGCTCCAGTAGTCCATGAAATTATTTTTATTTCAGAAACACCCTTTTTCCTCTCATGAAAGTACAAGGTCAAATACTTTAGAAAGAGAAGCTTTGATGGTGCTTTGTTTCCTAAGCAGAATTAATTCATGCATCCTTGAGTTTCCTTAAAATGTTAAATTTAAGTTTTCCTGAAGTGAGCTCGCATAAATGACTAGCCAAGAATGTCCCCCTTGGCCAACTTTGTCTCTGTTCCCTTTTGGAACAGCTCAGACAAAATAACTGAGGTTGGACAAGAGATAGGCCTTGTGAATTTGAGGTTTAATGAACACAAGAAGTACAAAACAGACAATTTTGGCAGATTTCATTGTAACACTTGAAGATGTTTGTTTTTTCTCATATCAAGGCTGCAGAGAGAGTTAGACGTGTTTGGTGAATTTGTCTCGTGCTAGAGTTACACTTTCTATTTATATAATCAATGTTAGGTCAGTTGTTTATAGCAGAATTAATGGCCTTGTTTATATAGTCTTCTGCTTTTATACATGTAATTCTTCTCTCCTTCCATTTTCAGGTTAGGGTTTGGTTTTGGTTTTCTTCATAACATAGAATTGAAACAAAATGTGTTGAACATGTGTGTGTTATTCCAGACTTTATTAGAATTCACTACTTATAAGAAATACAACAATATGTGGATGCACTTATGTAAACTATGGTCAGAGGGGGTTTTTTGTGTTGGTTTTTTTTTTCATTTTCTTTTCTCATCATCATAACTTTCTCTTCTGCCAAGATGTTTCTGGCAGCTTTTAAAAGGTTTGCCATTAAAAATGTTATAGACCAAATGGTTTTTAGAAGCTTTATTGAGGGCACTACTTAAACAAAGGAAGAGTTGGCGCTGAACTCCTTTCAGCAGAACTTTGCACTGGCAAGTGTTGATATCTGGAAGGGAATAAGCAAAGACAACAAAACAGTAGGAATGACGCCTATTTCTGTTTTTAAAAGGAATTAGAAAATCCCTTGTAAAGCAAATTTTTTTGCTCCTGTTCTTGTGTCACCTCAAATGTATATAAAGATATACCAGAGGCAGGACTCCTGCTTCTTCTCCCTCACATTCTTATTTTTCTTTTTCCTTCTGCCTTTTCTTAAAAAAAAAAAAAAAATTATACCATGTATCACATGGTAGGGAACATCCAGACTGTTCAGCACATACTTGAAGCCCTTATTGCCTGAACACAGGACATAACATAGTGGAAAATTACTGGCTTTTAAATTGTTGGTAAGGCTGTGACTGCTCCTGATGAACTGTGAATCTTAGTAGGAATACACAGATATTTATTTGTGGTTTATTTCTCCCATAAAACTACACACTCCTCTAGACTTGATAGTATTTCATAGCAGAAGTAGTATTTTAAAAGAAGAGTGTAATGGATTTGATGGCTGTGTTGATTTTTTTTTTTTCCTTTTCAGAACAAGAATTTACTCTTTGAGAAAATCAATGGTGGTCCAAAAAGAAGAAAGAGGGTAACTATCTGAATATTTCATAGCCCCTATAAAATCTAGAGACCTAATAAAAATTAAAACCATATTGCTGAAATGAAGAGATAGTCTAATGCATTTGTATTATACTTTGTATTATGTGTCAGGAACTCTCTGTGATAAACTGCTATAGCCAGCTAAAGGACTGTGCACTGGGCACAAGCCTTATTTCTCAAAACAGACTCTTGCTTTCAGAAGATACACTCAATTGTAGAACATAATAAAACCTTATATTGTCTGTCTTTTAAAACAGATCCTATTTGCTTAAAACCATTTAAAATTATTTCAAGATCTCTAAAATAATCTCAGAATTTGAAAATTCCCACTAAAAATATTAGTAAATTTAATTACCACTATCTGTGTGGTAATACAGAATATATATTTTCTGGTGAATATATTTTTGGGTGTAAATAACACTAGAGGTGGTTCTTTATCTGATCTACCCCAGATGAAACTCCCATCTCTGTGTCCCACTTGCTTGAAAGACAAAGATGAAAAGGTTCTCACTGTTCTGCTCCTGTTACAAGGAAGGCAACCCACACAGAGAGATTCTGCACAGTCTGCCTCATACTCTCTCTTTTTTGGTAGTGCAGCCTTTCTTTAATTGAAAAAAAACCACTTTCAGTAAGAGTCGACATCTTCAGCTTTGCTGCTGTGTATTATTTTTACAAAAAGAAAAAGTGTAGCTCTCTGCCAGAAAGTAGCTTTTCAAAATATGACAGCACAGTTTATATTGTAAATGAAGTAAATATAGTTTAAAATAACAAGCATAAGCAAAGATGATTTATTTATTTAATAACTCTCAAATTTTAAGTCTCTGCTAGAAAGGGAGAAGATGAGTTGATTTTTTTCCTGATTCAGGCATCACTGGCAGCTGGTACTTCAGCCATAAGTTAATGATCTGCAAAGAAGTCTGTTCCACAATTTTCAGATGAAGACAAAAGTCCTAAATAAGTACAATAAAAATGAAAGATAAAAACTCATGCCATCCTCCTCTAGATCATTATATTGCTTATATATAACCATCTATTAAAGCTGACCTGAGCTTAGTACTTGCTTCATGCTTACATTGGATTTTTGAGTTTGTTAGTTGAAAAGTAAAAACAAGGTAGTCACCTGACTTTAATTTTTAAGTAGAATTTACTCTGGAAATAATACAGCAGAATATTTATTAATAGCTAGAACAGCATGTTAAAGTAGAATTCATGCAACATATACATGAGGGGGAAAAAAAGAAAACAAGAACATTTTCTTTCTGTGAGCTGACTGACACAATTTGATACAAAAGAAGCACTAGCTGGAGACACTGGGCAGCTACATGGCCAGGGGTAGCCCAGAGTTTTGAAGGTGAATTGCTTTACAATTGAAATGCTATGAAATAATCAAGACTGATTTTCCTAGCACCTACATGTCACTTAATGCTAAGTTCATTAGAATTTAATAGAATCAATATAATTTAAATTATTTTAGGGTAATACTGTAATAATTACTAATGATTTCATGAACAATTCAGAATCTCCACTTTATCAGCAGAAGAGTAACCTAGAACTATCAGCAGGAGAGTGTGTTTTTTTAGAAATCAAGAAGTCCCCTGGATTCCCCTCCAGCCTTTTGTGCTCCCTGCCACTGCTCCCTGCCTTTCTGCACAGACACAGTTTTGGGATCTGGCAACAAATGTGTTTTGAATGTCCCCATCTGAGGTTAAAACAAGTCCTGTGTAACAGTGTGTGTAGTAACCCTGCTGTGTCTGTCCAGGGCTGTAGTGAAACAGTCACAGAGGCACCACTGGAGTGTAGAAAACCACATCTTCTGAGCACGTGTGTATTTTCCTGTATTTCTGTGTGCCTCTGCAGGCACACGTGCAAGCGTGCATACACATATCAGTGTCCACCACGTGCTGCTGTGCTCGTCTCCCTGCAGCACTCCCACTGCAAGACAAGGAGGTTTGCACTGACATCTAATGTTAACCAGCAGCTCTCCCCTTTTTTAAATGCCTGTGCTTGCAGTCAGCCCTGTCCAGAAGCGTCAGGACCATTTCTGTGATCACTGAGTAGCCGTGGGCTCAGAGCTGTCTACAAAGGTGCTCGGGAGCTTGCCTTACTTTCAATTCTGCACAGCTGCATGGGATTCAACATATTTTAGTCAAATCAGCCAAAGTATTTTGCATTATATTTTGTGTTTTCTTTTGTTGGTTAAGAAGGATTCAAAATTTTATGTAGTCTCGTTCTCTTCAACTTTATTTCATATTTCAAAAAGTAGCAAGCAAGTACCATGCCAAAAAAAAAAAAAAAAGACCAATTAATCTTCCTAGGAATCTTCAAATAATTCTTAGAAGTTTATGCAATGGTTGAATTTCACTAAATTAACATTAAACAGAACTTCTTTAAACAAACACAAACAAATCATTTACATATGTCTTATTTCTAACAATTTAAAGCATTGGAGTTAGTTTATTTTCAAAGATTTTTCCACATTCATTTCTGGTTCCTAATATTTTTCTGTTTTCACTTGCAGCAGGCAAAACACTCAAACCTAACAGAAGTAAAGCAAAAGTGCTGCTCTGTGCTATGACTAAGTATTAATGATAGCATCCTTAAATCTGGAGAAACCTAAGGGCCTAAATTGAAGATAGACAAACCCCATATGTCTTCCAGAGATTTGACAAGTACTTCAGATAGCTGAAAATAAGTATTTCATGCCCATTATGAATGCTTTTTTTTTTTTTTAATTCTTAAGTTTTGGTGAAAGAAGCACAGAAATGTCTCAAAAAAAGTAATTTCTGTGATACACAGTCAGCCTGACAAGAAGCAGGAGATACTGGAAAATTTTCATTCCTCTGAAGTTTTTATTAGCATCAAAAAGCCTTCATGCTAGAATTTTTGCCTGTATCTGTGTGAAGAAGACAATATACACTTGAATTTTGCTTAGACTGACACTGTAACAAGCCAGAAAGCAGGTGTAAATGATACTTAATACTGAAGCTCCACTGAACTGCTCCTCACTTTGCAAATACAGTAAATACATTTTACTCCATTCTTATAGATAAAATTCAAGCATTTCTATGTTACTCCATCTACGATCTCCAAGCAGTTTTAAGACAGGATCTGTTCATCTTCAGCCTCACATTGTGCTGCTTGCATGGTGCAAAGTGAAGTTCAGCCCTCTCCAGGAATCTTCTTTCCAGCATTCCCTTGTTCTGGCAGTGCTATGAGAGCCATTTTCCATGCCAGAACCTTGTTTGGCTCTGCTTCTTTGCCAGCAGCTTTTTATCTCAGCATCAAGAGAGGAAGCGAGGAGGGGTTTCCTGGAGAGGAGACAGGCTGAACAAGAGGCTTTGGTCAAACTGGAATTGTGGTCTCTAATTTGTATCCCAGCACAATGGCCATCAGGGGCTGGTGATTTGAGCTAAAACTTACCTGTACTTCTCCAACAAGTTCTGTCCTGCCTCAAGAATTAGGGAGTTAGAGCTGCTGGTGCTTCTCTGCTGAGCTGAGGAAAGGAGGAGTGGAGCAAAAAGGCAGTGTTTAATTGAGATTGTTCTATATTCCTGAAAGGCCTCCTTCACTTGTATTCCTTTCAGTGGATTGAATTAAATTATTGTGAAAAAAAAAATAGAAACAAAACATTGGTTGACTTTTAGATCTAATCCCTGGCGAAGCAATTTTTCCCATGTCTGTAAATATATAACAGATAAGAAATACATAAATATGTTCACTAATCCTAGTTACCTTTTATCTGTTTCCCTGTTTCTAATAAATTTAAATAATTTTAAACTTTTTCAGAGTGTGAACCCCTATCTGCAAGGACAGCGACTGGATAATGTTGTAGCAAAGAAGTCTGTTCCACAATTTTCAGATGAAGACGAAAGTCCTAAATAAGTACAATAAAAATGAAAGATAAAAACTCATGCCATCCTCCTCTAGATCATTATATTGCTTATATATAATCATCTATTAAAATCCTTGTGAATGGCAGCATGCTTATTATTTATATAATTGTAGATTAAAAACAGCTGTATTTATAACAGCATGTTCTCCTAGATGATAAAAGTATGGTTCTGCTTTTTGTTAAGTTATGGTAAAAGGATATTTCTGTTGTTTTTATTTTAGTCATGGAGCAGACTTAAAAAATGTTAGTCATTTTTGATAGCTAATGTGAGGTAAATGGTCTTAATGAGAAACTTGTAAATAGGAATATGAAAAAAAATGCCAAGTCTGACTCCAACATTTAATCTTAAATGTTACTATGTTTGACACATGAAAATTATAGTTTTATGTTTTGTTCACAAATATTGTTACTTAGCAAAGACAAAGTATTTATTTTACGCAGGGAATTTTGGCTTTTGGTCCATTTTAATAAACATTTAAGCAATCTACAAGGTTTGCAAAGTGACATTTTCCAAAATACTTCAGAGGCTCATTTGTCTGTTATTGCTGTGCAAATTTAAGAATTAAAGAACTGCTTTTTGACTGTATTCACTGAAATATTTTTCTGTTAGTTTTAATCATTCCATGCCCACAGCTTTGCTGAACACTTGAACATCTTCCCTCCTTATCAATGGAACTGTTATGTGAAAATTAATCTCCCCTGCTGTCCTTTGTCTCAGTAACTGCAGCATTTGTGCATTACAGTGTTGTTAAATTATAAGTAAAGATGGAGACATTTGTCTGTGTTAATAAGGTTGTGTCAACAACCTCTGAATCTAAATCCAGGATGTGAAGGTCATTAAAGTTGATCTTCGGAAAAAATATGCTACTCTAATGCCACTTGTAGCTATCATTGCGCTTGAATTTGTTCTGGGAAGCTTAAATTGCCTTCTTGCCCCTAGGAGATTGAAGAACTTTATATTCCAGAGTTCTCCCTTTCTGAAAGATGAGAACACACCTGACTATTTCAAGCCATGTGAATGGAGCACTGGAATTAGGGAAAATAGCATTAGTTTACAGCTGATATTACAAATAATATGAGGGAAATGGTGAGGAAAAAAAAAAGTAGTTTCCTTTCCCATCCTATAGAAAGATAACAAGGAAATAATGATGACCTCTTAGAAAAAAGAAAAATAAATAAACAAGAAATTAAGGTTCCTAGCTGTATAAAACTAAAGTTAACAGGATGGCTCAAGTATTACTGTTGTTGGCATTTGCTTTTCTTGTCCCACGTCTTAGTTATTTGTAATAAATTATATATGTAGAGAACTGGGCCTTTCGAGCCAAATATGGGTAGATTGCAAAATTTTGGAATGGACTATCATGCCTTTCATCATATTTCCTTTTAAAAAAAGTCTTGAAGAGAAAAATGAATAGTATGTCATAAAGTGGGGTTTATACTCACACAAGACACAAGCATGAGGAATTTCGATGAGTCACAGAGCTCCTTTGGCTTCCAGTGGCTGGAACAGGATGGGAGCAATCTAGCTGTCCCTGTGACAGAACTTGGATTCTCTGCCTCTGGGCCTTACTCTTTTTATCTGCACTCCTGCTCAGTCTTCAACAGGTATTGAAAGCTGCAAATCTACAAAGATTGATCCAAAACCAACAAAGAGTCTATATGTATAATGGCCTAAATCTGACATTAAAACTTACTGATGCCCAGTGGCCCAGAGTGTGTGAAATGGTCATTCCTTCCACCCAACCCTGCTGCCAGCCACTGGTGGAGCTGCAAGGCTTCCAGGCATTTGGAGGCCACACTGCCATTCCTAAGAAATTGGTGTTTCTTCACATCCTTGACTGTTCCATCGATACTTCTGAAGCAATCTGAGTTACATTCTGTCCTTATAGCTCCGGTGAAATCCATTTGAATCACAAAAATGAAACAACCATGATGGCAATTTATTTCATTTCTAAGCTCTTTTTAAGGACAAGTGCATAAAAAAAGGAAATTTGTACAGTAAATAGGGAGCTTGAAAAGGGAAGGGCAAAGAAGCATTGCTTGCTTAATAGTATCAATAATCCCACACGTAATTTTGTGAAGCACTCGAGGTCACTCCAACCCTGTGTGGGAATGTGAAATCCAGCAGTGCAGACTGGCCAGAACAGGGATACCTGGCAGACTGCCTGCATGCCACCAAGAGAAGCTGCCCTCCTGTGTATGACAGACCTGCACAGTGCAGGCAAAGCAAAAAATCACAATTCAGACCTGGTTTTGTCCTTAAACACAAGCAAAGAACAAAGTAAAAATCTTTACACAAAACGACGTGTCTTACAGGAAGTGTCTGCTGGAGCAAGTCAAGTGTGTGGTGGTGAGCAGCTGTCTGCTGAGTTCATCAGGCAGCTTGAGTGCATCACCAGGAAGAGTCAGAAGTACTATTGTGAAATTTTAATAAAATATAGCTATTGCACCACGATAATGAATTTCATTACTCTAATTTCAGCTTTATGGCAGAGCTGTCTTTTGGTACTGGGACTGGCTAGTCCCACACTGATTAAAAAAAAAAAAAAAAAAAAAGACAAGCAAAAATCCTTGTCCCTCCTACTGTTCCAATTAGAGTCCAAACATCTATATGTAGTTTTTTAAACAGAATAATTACAGTGCTGGTCTTTCAGAATCAATGAACAAAGATACCAACTATCCCGCCTCACTCAGAGTTTACCAAACGAATATTTACAAGAATGTAAATAGCTGCACAGGTGTAATTGCCCTTTTACCTTTATGATGCATGTGAATTAAGGAGCATGTATATTGATACTGTTGTTTAGAATTTTCATCAAATTAAAGCCTTTTAGAATATTTTAAAATTTGCAAGTGTGTTAATTACCTCTAATGCATTAAAGACACGAAGTGCTAGAAGGAAGCTATACAAAATAAAATGTATTGCCCTGAAACATTGATTTTGTCTGGTAAAGAAATATTCATTACTCTAGTTTAAAAAAAGCACTGTGTAACTGATACGAATATTTGATTTGTGACACAACACTTACTCTGGGGGTGCATGTGCATACACACACACAATACACTTTTCAAAACAATACAGTCTGATAATAAACTCATTAGTAAAGAATATAATGATGTTAACCCACAGAAGAAAGTAATATAAATAGGCTTAGTGAATTGTTAAGGAGGGGAAATAATGATATATCTCTAATTACTGGCACATTTTCATTCACCAAATGCACTAAAACCATGCTGCTATCTCTGCAGCAGCTCAGGGCAATCCAAAGAAGCTGGGTGCTGCTTCTCTGATGTCAGAGTTCTGAGAGTCACTTCCAGGACTGCATTTAAAGCTGGCCTGAAGCTTATTTTATCAAAATGTGATGAAGCCCATCTTATCTCTTAAACTGAGGAAGGGCACAGGCAGAAAGGTGACTGCCAAGTCCTTTAGGTTTTTGGCTTTGTTGTCAACAGAGTAACACTCAAGCCCCTTTGTTTCCAAATGTCTGTAGTTGGGGAAGCAGACAGCAGCTTTTTAACGATGAAGAGGAGACTTGCCTTCAAATCAGGCTCTAAACAGTAGCTCTGTGGAAGTGTTGAAAAGGCTTTGTTTTCATTTTCATGGTGTACAAAAAATTAATTTTTGAACATTTAAATTTTCTGGAAAAAGCCCATAACAACATTAACCCAAAACAAACTTGGAATCTTCTGGCCTGTTTGCTGGTAAACTCACTAAACCAGTTCTCACCTCAGCTTGTAATGTGACACAATTTTTATGCAATTACTTTTTTTTTTTTTAATGTAAATAGATCTGTATTTTAATGTAAATGCCTGGATCTGTAGGACAGAGACCTTAAAGACAACTCTTCAATTTTCTGAAGTTACACACCCAGATTTATGGAAAGAGAAGGGCAAGGTAGAAAGATTCAGAGGATGCTACCACAATCCCATGAAAATTTAAGATGCCCAAGGAAAGGACAGTTCCACATGATCCACAAAGGAGATGAGTATGTTCACTGTTTTATTAGCCAAGCGTCACTATCTGTAGGATTTAAGGCACCTCTCCATCTAAGCCAGAAGCTATCAAGGCTATCAGGGAGAGGATATTATCTCCAATTTTGAGACACCTGAATCCAACATTTCAGGTTAACGGAACTGACAATTAGATTGAATTATATTTCTGCTATGCTTGATATAAATAGGATGTCAATGTGATATGCCCTAAAGAGAAAACAGCAACAACAAGAACCCAACAGAAAATGTTGACTCCACTGCCATATGAATACATATGCATACACTTAAAAATTCATTTTTGTTTAAAGGCATGCAATTACCTTCAATACTCTTTAAAAATAATCATATTCAGGAATTATCTCAAAGAAGAAGTGTACTTTTAAAATAAAGAAGTTATTGTGTCCCTTAAAATGTCTGTCAGTTTGTCATGCCTAGGGTCAATGGCAGATTCCAACCATGAGCAAAGAACAAGTTCCCTTGAAGGGCTCAGCCACTGATGGTGATCTGCTTACATGCAAACTAAATAAAGGCTGAAAACAATTGTAGGCAAAGGATATGGAATTGCCATCATGAAGATCCCCATCACTCACCAATGCAGCTGACTACTATAAGACTGGGAACTAAGCCAAGATTTTCAAATACAAGAAAATGAAAAGTCTTTTTCCAAGTACTCTCATGGTCTAGGTCCACCATGCTCAAGCATTTTGCTGTTAGGTGAAGAATGGCATTGAGCTCCAGTTTACCATCCTAGTTTACCATGAGAAGGAAACATGTAGTTTCAGTTGTCATGCTTGCTTTATTTATGATGATGGCTGCTTTGCTGAGATTACATGAGTCCTGATGGTTGGGAGAGCTGCTAACCATGTGTTCAACACATGGGAGCATAACAAACATTAAATACGAGTGTCATGGCAGTAGCATTATCAAATGGAACTTAAAGAGCTTTAAAAAAATCCCATTTTATTAATGAGGTCTGTATTTGTATGTGGGGCAGAGGTAGACATGGTAGGAATTGAGAAAAGTTTCAGACTTTAAAGATTAGGTAGACCTGAATCACCTCTTTTTCATTTTCCTCTGTAGTGCCTGTTACCAAAACACACAGAATGCAGCTCCTAATGCAATGCATGGTTGTCTTTTACATTTAATTACTGTTTTTTCATCCTACTCTGTTCTCCAAGAAAAACAGTGGTGTGAGTCAGTGGCTGAATTTCTTGGTAAACTGAGTGAGGCAAAGGAGGAAGCCCAGAAAAAAAGTAATGTGCTTCTTGTTACTAGTCTCAAACTCTCCCTCATTCCCTAACCAGTGTCATTCAGCTAGAGACCATTAAATGCATAAACACTGACTTCTTTTACTCCAGATCTTTGTTCTGAGCCTAACCACCATATGACAGTGTTACTTTCCTGGGAAGCACTGAAGATCTCCATTACAGATGACAGTGATTTTTGGGTCTGGGCATTTTGGTAGATCATAAAAGGTGCATATGGCTTTGATGCTGAATTCAGACATCTTTCAACTAATTCGTTATTCTGAGAAACACAAAAAAAAACCCCAAGCCCTAGCAGTTATTTCAGTGCAATATCTATATTCTAATGCCCCAAAGTTCTCTAAAAGTGCCTGAAATTATGTGATTCTGATTCCTCAACTCAACAGAGAACACCTTTCTACATTGGAAATATAAAATACCACAATGTGGCATTTTATATTTCTAAATGGACAAAACAGTCTCATAAAAGAGCAGGTTAGTCCATCCAGAGAAGCACTCATAATTCATCATTGGCTATATTTTCTCTTTCTTAACGGTGCAAACAGTGACTAAGAGAATTGCAAAACTTTGATTCCAATGAGTAGTGCAATGGCTGTAAGATTTATGGACTTGAAAGCTGTGTTAAGGCACTTGAAGAAACCTATTTTTAATGCTGCATAAACCATTGATCAATTTTTTTTTTTTTTAAAGAATTTAAGTAAATTCTTTAAAAGTCAATGTTCTAATAGACAAGCATGGCTGTTGTAGTTCATGCACAGACCCTGGCTATTGGCTGAATTCCCCAACCCCACGACTGAGCTGACACAGGACTCTGCATGCCTGGGTAATGTATGTGTAAAAGTAAAAAAGAAAAGTACGTCCTGCTTCTGACTCTTTATAGCTTCATCCTGCTAATCCCACAGTGTCTCCAGCTTTGCTGCAGCCTTTCTGGTGGCTACTGCTCTGAAGTGGTGTCTTGGAAGGCTCCTTTTCAGGTAGTGACTTGAGTACGAAGTTATCCAGCAGGCAAGCAATATGTGCCATAACGATACACATTTCTTTCAATTAAAAATACATTAATTAGTAGCTGAGACTATTTTCTAATTTCTAACCACACTGACTATTTTCTGCTGTGTTTTTACATTCTCAGCAGCAACCTTTAAGCCTTTAAAAGAACAAGAACTATCCACAAAGTTGAAGATAAGGCCCTCATAAACCTATCCTAAAATATCAGCTGCTTGTAAAAAACACTTTGTGTCTATCCTGTTGTGCATCTGGAGGTTCTTGATCGGG